CTGGGGTAACTCTTGAGCATTTGAGACCGTGGTGCAATGATCTGATCTCTGGTTTGATCACTATCTGTGGGCAAAAAAGCAATACCAGAATGTGCAACTTTAAGAAAAGCTTTTTTTTTTTTCTTCCAAGGGCTTTACTTCAGGAACCCCTTAGTCAAACGGCCCTAAATTGGGATTGCAGACCTTACCCTATATCTCCATGAGGCACACCAAATTTCAAGGCAATCTGATTACCTGTACAGATTTTAGAGGACTTAGAACAGTCAAGCTTTATTCAGAAAGCTGGTTTTAACCTTGAGAGCTATCGTTCTCTGTTATAATACATATGCAGTCAGCACTACAGCTAAGAACGCCCATTGTAATTAGGAAGAAATGAACATCAGAAAAAACTTCCTAATAGTGAGATCTATTAGACAATGGAATAGTCTCTCAAGCCAAATGGTGAAATTCCCATCACTGCATGTCATTTAAAAACTGTGTTGGACAAAGCTGAGTACTAGAGGATACATTGTAGAAAACAGTCCTGCCTCTAGTACCTAGGGGAATGGACTATATGACCAATAGGCTTCTTCCTTCTCTGAAGATCCCCTGTTCTAGTATCCTCTCGTGGCCTGGCATTATTAAAGGAAGTTTTCCAGCTCCTAACAACATTTAAAAATTGCAGGCATCCATTTTAGTCTCTTTGTGCAGCTGCAGTGATCATGGTTGCCAACTGTGCCTCCAGAATATATTAAACCTAGTCATGGGGAAGGGAGCTGGACAGTACAGGAGACTGGTTCATTTTTCCACTTCATTTTCAAGGCACAGTTCAATGATGACTGAAAATAGTAGTGTTCTGACATGTGCTCAGTGGTCTGTGTGAAATAAAATCAGATCTACACTAGAATCTTTTCCCGGTATAGTCATGTTGGGCAGAGGCATGACTTTTTTTTTTTCTGCAACATTTTTATACCACCAAATGCCCTAGTGTAGGTGCAGTTATACTGCCATCAAAGATGTTTTTGCCAGTACAGCTTATTTCGCTTGGGGAACTAGTAAGCTGTGCTGGGAAAGCTGCATACTGGCAAACCTTTTCTAGTGTAGACCCTGGCCCAAACTGATGTAAGATAGGGCCATTTGCTTTAGTGGTTTGTCTTTTCAGCCCTCTAAAGTCATGATTAGTAGGACACAATGGAAGAAAGGGAGGGCTGAGGAAATGAGAGACAATAGGGGTTCACAGTGGGGAGTGAGGAGAGGTGGTGTAGGCGATGGCCTAATTACCAGAATCAGTCTAATTCATGGGATTTCACCTGGCACCAACAACTAATACCAGGTCCCTCTTAGTAAAGCTGCCTCAAGGACGTAAAGAATCTCTTTTCTCCCATAATTTCACTCTGTTCTCCAGCCCTCACAATTATATTGGTTTGGGCTGGGAAAGAGCTTCTCAAGTGGTGATTCCTCTGTGCTAAAGAGCACAACTCTGAGAAGAAGATAGTAGGAACAGTGATTGTTAATAAAATGGTTCATTGCAACATTAACGTTACTCATTTAGGCTGTAGTCAAGTAAACTGAATTACACTCCTCGAGGAACAGCCATGCTAGTTCAGTAATTTTTGCTGAAAATATGAATGTATTTGTAAAAACATTTTATCTTGCTGTTTACTGGGAAAAAAAACAAAATTATATTAGGACTATGCTCATCATCATTCTAGGGTGCAGAATTCAACACTGTGCAGTGTGTCACACAATGAAAGAATACTAAAGAATCTGCAAAGAACAGATGCCTTCCAGCTGTTACTTGGGAAATGTTATCTAGTGAAGTTCAGTTCTCCTTAAATCAAAAAGGTTTTATCTTAAATCAAAATGCAGCCGGAATTCACTTCGGCACTAGAGAAGATTAACCCTATGTTACTGATTTTAAAAATCTATTTTGAAACCGGTCCAGGTACACACAACACAGCTGCAAAATTATCCACCATCTCACTGCAGTGTTAGGCTGCCAGCATGTGTGACAAAAGAGAAGCTTTCAGCTGTGAGCTGTCTCTGAAAATGTTTCTCAGCAGGTCCGTCTGGTTAGTGGTATAGGTTTTTTGTTTGTTTGTTTTCCAAACGCTTTGCTTCATTGGTTCCCCAAACTTTCTTGTCCTACCCCCTGATTGAGCAATGACAAATTTCCAGGATTCTTCTCCTTTCCCCTCCCCATGGTTTTACATTTCGTCTAGGGCTTTTCTTTCAACTCCTGCTTTTGAAGATGCATTTTTCTGCTTTTAAGAAAGAGAGAAAGCAAGTCTTCAAGGATTCAGAGTGTTTGTAGTAGGATATGGAGCCATTCATCTCTAGGTTACTGGTTCAAATCCGGTTTTTGTGACTGTGGATATCTGGCTTATAGGAATTAGTCCGAGATGCCCAACTCATTAAACATAGGATGCTGAGCAGGCATCGGGTGGTCAGTCACTACCATCCGATGACTGCTCAGCGTCCTATGTTCAATGAGTTGGGCATCTTGGTCTAATTCCTATAAGCCAGATATCCACAGTCACAAAAACCACCGTTAGAATTGGTAATAATTATAGCCCTTATTTGCAGTCTCCATGGAAGGTACAAGGATTGAATGGGCCAGGGAGACTAGCCTGCTTCCATTCCTGGAAGTGATCCTTCTGGAACAAGGCAGAGGCATAACATCAAGAAAGGGCAACTAACGCTACCATTACCTCTGCTGTAATAGAGTACTTAGAGCTTCTCTAAAATGAATATGGTGCATTTTACAAGCACTAACTTCAGCTATATGGAACAAAATGCAGTGGCGGGGGGAGGTGGAGAGCAAACTTGGCTACATATCAGGAAAAAGTACCATGACATGCTCAATGGTGGTCTAAAACACATCACTTATTAAAACTTCAGTGTGTAAGTAGCCTTCAGGTTAGTACAGAAGTAAAACAGAATTTGGATGATCACTAAAGAGAATCCCAGGATTACATTCTGAAGCGGAGTCTTGCTGGTCAGGAGCGAGGTGCTTTGTTAAGGCTCTCTGGGGATCTGCCTGTCCTACTGTTCCATCATTTTTAGAAATACCAAATTTACTCATTATTTATGGGGG